CATCCTTCTTTTTTTTTTTTTTTTTTTTTTTGAGAGCCCTTGTGTAAGCCCTCTATCCCGAGGTGGTAAGAGAACCGTCAGAACTGAGGGCTGGTGGGGAGCAGCACCTGCTGGAAACCGGGTCGAGCATCCCAGTGATACATCTTTTTTGCTGAGAACCAGGCTCAGCGTCCTTAGGAAGTACATAGGCGAAAATGAGAAAATGAGAAAGAGAGAAGATGAGAAATTAGGAAAACCATGATCATGTGACAGTCCGAGAAAAATCCCGTAGCTGGACTGTCTTGCGGCCTGGCTCAGGAGAACGGAAGGAGCCATTGGGGGGCACCAATGGGGGTCTCCGTCCATTTCCTCGCCTGGCCCCAAATTCTCACTATGCTCTCCTCTGAGCCCAGCGTTCTTTTGAGGCTTCATTGTCGTTTCTCGTTTTCAGAAGTCTTTCAGAATTCCTGGAAGATGCTCGGCTTCACTGTGGATGGCGTAGATCAGGTACTTGGGTACTTAGTAGTGTCCTGGGGGAGCAACTCAGGTGACATTTCCTCCAGGGCCAGCGAATTCCTCGGCTGGCCGTAACGGCTCCCTAGGGTAGATCTTTGTCCATTCATGAAACTGCAGCTGGTAGTCCCTTTCAATCTCTGCCTGTTGCCCCTTTTGCGGTCCCATCTCCTCCTCCTGTTGATGCTCCCGTTGGTGTTCCTGTTGCTGGACCTGTCATTGTTCTTGCCTATCTCCTGCCCAACTCACCTTTGCCACCCAGCCCTCCCTCTTCTCTCCCAACCAGTCTTCACAGAACTGAGAGATGATTCTATTGATATTGCCCCTGGTGTGTACTTGGTTCAACTTTTCCTTAGCCGCCCGCCCCCAGGCCGTAATTGCTCCATGACCTCCCCGTCTTCCACCCTTGCTCCCTCTATTTCCAGAATGCACGGCGCATCTACCCAGGCAAAACATGTTCTCTTCGAATGTGTTTACTCGAATCCGGGGGTAATGTCCCAGAAGTATGGCCCTCCAGTCCCATGCCCATTATGAGCCCGGCACCATGTGTCTCCAAATCATGTCCCACCACCTCCATAGCAATACGGCTGCGGGCCACTGAAGGAGAATGTGCTCTATCGTCTCGGAGCGCTTGTGATGCGCAACCTCACACCCCGCGCGGCGTTCCGTACATCGAATGCCGATCAGAGTAGTTGGGGGTGTGGCCGAGGATTTTTGGCCATGGGGTTGAATCACCCGGGTGAAACGGGGGATTCTTGTTTCAGGCCGAGGGTTGTCTTGTTGGGGATTCGATCCATCATCGAGTTCAAGGGACGGAGGAAGAGATCGTTCCCGAGGGACCATCAACAAAAACTCAAAACGGAAAAGCAAACGAAAGGAGGGCGAGGGAGCGGAGTTTTTCCGCTTTCTGCTGCGCTCGGTTTGCGCGGCCCTTGGGGCGGTTGCCCCGGAATTGAGTTTCAGGCCTCATTGTCAGACTCATCGAGCCCGCGCGGATGACCTTGCGCGGGGTCGCCTGGGGTCGGGCGGGCCAAGGGAACCCAGGTTTGAAAGTTAGCCGGGAGCGCGCCCTCGTTGCGGGAGAGTTCTGGGAAACGAGCCGCACCTTCGTATCCCAGGACTAGTCTTTGCCAGGAACACGAATCCACCTGACAAGACTAGCGGCAGTTAAACCGAGGCCGCCACGTGGCATGGGCTGCGGACCAGGGCAACACAGTTAGATCAGTGTAGGGCAATACCAGGGGAGGAGAAGAGAACCGATCGATCAGCACAAAACCACTCCCTCCGATATGGCAGGCTCTGACCGGGTTATACAAATGAACTTGCTCGGTCCGTCGCAAAGCGCTCCGTAGGTCTGCGTCACAGTACACGCTATCGTCGTCCGCGATGGGGAAGGTTGGTAGCGCGTTGTGATGGACCGATACGAAGGTCGAGCACGGGCAGAGACCTCCGCCCACGTCCGCCGAGGCGAACGCTGGCTCCATGCGACGATCGCCGAGATCCTGCCTTGCTCTCTCTCTCTCTCTCTCTCTCTCTCTCTCTCTCTCTCTCTCTCTCTCTCTCTCTCTCTCTCTCTCTCTCTCTCTCTCTNTATTATGAGATTGTCAATGTCCGGAACTAAAGTTTGCAGGCGCTCCCACATCCTGCGCCTTGTGCCCAATTCTGACGGTCCGTAGATGGTAACTAACCCCCATATAGTTTCCCCCCACTTAAGCACCACCCAGGCCCACCTTCCCCTGGAGTCGTAAAACCAGTCGGTTACATCTCCTCGAAAATGCGGGGAGATGAGAATGCAGACCCCTCCCCTAGTACCCTGCGCCGGGGCCCAAATCTGGTGGCCCTTCCACCATAACACCGGCTCTACCGTTCTAGCTTCATTCAACTTAGTCTCTTGTAGACACACTACATCGATCTGCTCATCTTTCACTTTCCTCGCCAACGCCCTTCTCTTGGGCAGCAGTGATTGGGCCCCCAGGCCTCTCACGTTCCGAGTCAGCAGTTTCAGCCTATTGCAGTTTTCCTGCACTGGCATCCCCTACCACTAACCTAACCCCTAGTACATCCCTTACTATGTTAAGGTGGTACCTTCCTCTACGTATTGCTGGGGGGGGTGTCCTTATCCTTGCGACACCCATTCAAGATAGGTATATAGTATAGTACCTACCCTGCCCTACTCTACCCTCTCACACCCCCCGTTCCCAAATACCAGTTCCATTCTGGAACTGCACACCCCCCACGTGTTCCATCAGTGGCAGGCACGCATTAACACTGTTGAGCAGAGCCAGAGATGTTGTATGAACCAGGTGGTAGTCCTGCGAGAGGGCATCAGGGCCATAGGCTTTGGCAAACCGTATCCAGTGCATGCCTGCCGATCCTAGCCACGGAACTCCCGGTCTCTTAGGGATGGCTTCCACAAAGAAGACAAAGATGACATACTCATCCCCCCCCGTAGTCTCCCGCACAAATCAGAGTGCTGATATCTGAGGCAGCGGCACCACTTCGTATCTTGGACCCAGCCATTCAGCCACCTTCTTGAGCACCTGCTGTTCCCGAGGTGGCGGGCCACTCCAAAAATTGGTACATCCATTATCCCCTCCAGGAGCAGCCTTATTTCCTCTGGCGCCCGCCATAGGACAATCGGGCAGGCATAGCCCTCTCCCGCCCTAAGAATGTCAGGCAACCTGGCCCCCACGCGCTCCTGCCGTGCCAGGCCTTCCAACTGACTCTCAGGCGGCTGGCGCTGCTGACTCTCCTGCTCCAGCGTACTTCGGTTCTCAGCACTCCGCT